CGATAACTGAAATTGCTGTATATAATTAAGCACATATCCTCACAAGTTTATTTGTGTATAACATATATATTTCCTGTATCATGACTACGCTGACTGAATAATAAGCTAAGACCTGATTGAGTTCATTACTTCTACTGTATTTATACGACTATCGGCGCAGCGGTAGCATAGCGTTCATGATTTAAAAACAATTATTTAGATGTGCCGCTACTAATAGTCGGACATACCGTTGGAATAGGGTATTCAATTTCATTTATCTACGCAATAATTCTCAGGATACTATCCTTTTTCGCTGGCGCAGCTCGGATTCCTACTTTCTTTCTGTTTGCTGTATTTTTTGCTAATAGATCTATCTAATCTTAAGGATGACCGTAATCTTTGTTTCTAATCTAACGGCGGAAAATATCCATCATGTTGTATATTTATCTCTACAGTACGAGTTTATAATAACCTATAGAAAAGTATAGCTGCATTTTTAAACTCTATTCTTGGAACATGGTAACATTAACACAATCAATGACTCTTTAAGTGATTAGCATCATCTTTCTCTTACATAGCCTGCTACGATCCTACTGGCGATGGCCTACAGCTTAAATATCTCACAGATGCCCCTATTTTAAAAGGTTGCACAGTTTACATTGGATCAGTTTTCTTTACCATGTATCGAATGCATACGCAAGCTGATGTCAATGTAACCACTTATCCTGAACTACGCGAAATTACTGGATCTTTAGTGCTCAATTTAGTAGCTGGAAAATATTTGGTTTCATTAAGCTCTGTCTTTCCAAATCTTCGTGTCATACGTGGCAATCAGTTCTTTTATGGACTTACATTACTTTTCTACTTTGATCAGCAGTTGCTCGATATGGCATTGCCATCTCTTACCAGAATTCAACGTGGCAACGTCCGAATCCAAAGTAATGCTAACATGTGTTATCATAGTACTATCAAATGGTCAAGCCTAATGGGAACAAACTATTCGCCTGATAAAGTAGTTACTAAAGACTACGG